ACCGCCCCCCGTGCCGCCGCCGAGCCCCGATGCGGTCCCCCACGCTCGGACGCCGGGGGCACAGGGCTGGGGGCTGACCCCAGGGTTCTGGGCAAGGCCCCAGCCCCTTCCCCAGTGCCCTCAGCTCCTTCCCTGGTGCCCCCAACCCCTTCCCTGCTGCCAACCCCTTTCCCGGTGCCCCCAGCCCCATCCCTGGTACCCTCAGCTCCTTCCTCGGTGCCCCCAACCCCTTTGCCAGTGCCCCCAGCACCTTTCCTGGTGCCCTCAGCTCCTTTCCAGTGCCCTCAGCTCCTTCCTCGGTGCCCCCAGCACCTTTCCTGGTGCCCCCAGCTCCTTTCCTGGTGCCCCCAGCTCCTTTCCGGTGCCCCCCCAACCCCTTCCTGGTCCTCTCAGCTCCTTCCCAGTGCCCCCAGCCCTTTCCCCAGTACCCCCAGCCCCTCGGGCGCAGTCCCAGACCCCATCCCACACCCCCGATGCCATCGCTCCCTTTACCAGCTCATCCCGGTCCCCCGGCATCAGCAGCTCGGCCCCCCGATTCCCGCAGTCATCCCGGCTGGCGCTCCAAACCCGCACCCCGTTGGCGACCCAGTAGCACTTGGTCCCGTGCAGCGTCCAGTTCACGGGGCAGAGCTTGCACCCCTCAGCCTCTGGAAGAGAAGTCAGTGCCATGTTCAGCCACCAAGAAGCCACCTTGTCCCCTGCACACCTGAAGAAAGAGAAGTGTTTCAGCCCTGCAGGAACACGGGGGATGCCCCGAGCTTCGCTTGGTTCTCCAGTCTGGGGGTGCTGTGAGTTTTTGGGGAACCTGACGGTGCGGAGACGCGTGGCGGCCGGGGCGGTTACCTCGCAGCTCTGACACGCAGAGAGCTTTCCTCAGGTCCAAGCAGACGTTCCCCAGGGTGGCGTTGCCATCTCCGACGTTCTCGGTCGTGTTTTTACAGCTTCCCGGGCTCTCCGACTGCTGGGGGCGAACTGCAAGGGAAGGATGGAGCAGGGGAGAGGGACTGGCTCCCCCAGGCACGATGCCCACGGAGCTCGACCTGAGCGTGGGCCCAGGGACCGCAGAGAAGCGTCTGGGATGGATCCTGCTCGGAGCGCTCCCCTCATCCTTCCTGTTCTCCCAGCTCGGCCCAATCCTTGAGCTGGGCATCTCACGGGGGGGTGAGAATCGGCCTCGGGGCAGACCCCAGACCGTCGTCTTTGGGAGTACAGGGCAGGCACGATGCCCACGGAGCTCGACCTGAGCGTGGGCCCAGGGACCGCAGAGAAGCGTCTGGGATGGATCCTGCTCGGAGCGCTCCCCTCATCCTTCCTGTTCTCCCAGCTCGGCCCAATCCTTGAGCTGGGCATCTCACGGGGGGGTGAGAATCGGCCTCGGGGCAGACCCCAGACCGTCGTCTTTGGGAGTACAGGGCCACCACCTCCGAGCTCACCCCCCGCTCGCAACCGCCTCCACCTCCCGCAGCCGCCTTGAGCTGGCAACAGGCTGTGCGACTCCTCCTTGCAGCACAGCGTGCCCACAGACACCCGCAGGGGATTTATTTTGGGGTCTCTCCATTACTGGGCCCACCCAAGTTCAAGCCATCGGCCCCAGATCCACCCCACAACGGGGACAGCGGATCCCTACAAAGCCTCCGTGCCCCGGCTCGCACCCAAAGTTGCTCCCACACCGAGAGCATCACCTGCATTCTGCAGCTCTCGGCCCCGCGGAGGGCACGGCGCTCGGGGAAACTCTCCTCCTTCCTCCACACCCCTGTGCCCAAAGCTTGGCAGATCCAACACGACAGTCCAGCCATGGCCATTGACACCAGTGGGCCCACAGATCCTGCCATGTCCCGAGAACCAACATGGCTGGGGGGGGGGCCCCCGCCCCCCCCCCCCCCCCGCCCCGGGAGCACCCCCTCTCCCCCCTGCCTCTGGAGGATCCCCTCTCCCCCCTGCCTCTGGAGGATCCCCTCTCCCCCCTGCCTCCGGAGGATCTCCCCTGCCTTCAGAGGATCTCCTCATCAAGATCCACCAGCCATCTGAGTCCCCTTTCCACCTGCTCGGTGTGGGTCAAGGCAGCACCAGATGCCACCACCACCGTGACGCCAAGCACAAGGCTAATTCTGGCAGCGCTCTGCGTCACCCCGAGCTCGGCCCCGGGACGACAGACCGTGACCACGCCACAGCCGAGAAGTTTCCAGCAGTTTGCCCTCGCTGGCCAACCGAAGCAGTCAAGTCTCCTCCACCCATCGGCTCAAAGAACCTCTGATAAAACCTCGCTTGCCCACACCTTGCGCCGATGTGTGTCAGCCAACGCAGACCATAAATAGCAGCTTTGCCTCCCACGCCAGCGCCCCAGCAGCAGGGACCCCCTCCCCACAATTTGTCCCCTCTTTGGATCTTTTGGAGCTACTCACGCACGCATCCCATCGCTACCACGGCCACTCCGAGGAGGAGGTTCCCGGTCCAGCCGGCCCAGAGAGCGGCTCCGGGCCACCCGGGGCCGCCCCGCC